ACAAATCCTTCAGTGAGTATTATTGTAATTCACTATTGACAGTAAAGCATTTTTCATATTATATATTCCATGTTCTTTATTTTGCCTAATTTTGTTTACCCAATCTCTTTTGTTGAATGTTCTGAAACAGTATAGTTTCCTTTGTTCCCATATTTATTGTGTCTATCCCTCCCTCTCTCCGTCTTCCCCTCATTCTTTGAATTATTCTATTTGTTTGTTGATTTCTCAATCAATATTTGTATAGTAGTGTTTCCAAGACTACTCTTTACAAATTGATGGTAAAACTAGCTAAGTATAGGCTGTGGAAAGGATTATGGAGTCAGATACCTAGTTTCATCAACATAACCCAGGCATTCAAATAACATGAATGTTTCATTAGTCATTTTCTCTTTCTTTTATACATGACCATTTGGTGTGAATTGTGTACACATTTACAGCTTCTCATATTCTTTAACCTATGGTAATTGCCAGATTTACTTGTTCATATTCTTAACTGCCATATGCAATATAACCAGAAAAAAAGTTTACTCTCTGTCTCTGGGATACAATCTCTCACCGAGAACGGCAGTATGCTATGAAGAAAAATGTATACTAGTTGCCCCACATGTGGTGTATGGTTTATTTGCACCCCAGGCCTTAAGCCTTTCAGTGTTTTAGCTGGCATAGAATCATTGTGCTAAGTATTCCAATATATCTATGAGTAAAGCTTTCAGTATGATCATTATTTAATATTGAATCTTTTTACAAAACAGATTTTGGCTTTCTGTTTGCTCTTACAAGGTTACTGTACAAATAAAAAAAAAATGGATTGAATTATTACATGCATATGATTGTTTGTTAAAAGTCACAGAGAAGGTTCTGAGGATTTTGGGTGAATACTTTGTATTGGAAAAAAGTTGTGTATTTTATCCATATTCATACTAACCAATTTATGACCCGAGATGTCTGTTTATTCCTCATATAAAAAAAGGGTAAATTGGTAATTGATGTGTTTTTGTTTCTTTATTTAAGAACAGTCAGTTATTGTAACAGGGTTAACAGTTGTACTTTGTATTACATTTAAGCTTATATAACACAAATTTAATTAATCTTTGAGATTCTTCCAAAAGTGATCTAGGATTACTTTTTTCAGTTAGTTCCACAAGAGTTGAACATTTTGTACTGGGATTCATAAAATACTTGCATCAGCCTAGTTAAACATTTAGTATGAGGAAAAAATCTATTTCAGTGCAAAAGTCATACAATATCGTCTAGATATCCTGCAAGTTGATTTGGTTGGGGTGCGTGACTACCACTTTAGAAATAACACCTTTAAGTAATCTGTACAAGTGTTGTTTCCTTTCCCATGTTTCTTGTTTCACATCTCTGGTTGCTAGGGCCTTCCTCCTTACAGATTCATAGTAAGATCCACCAAACTCTTACCAAATGTATGTATTAGTATAGAGAATTATTTTGGTCTTGATTAATGGCTGTATTATATAACAGCCACACATTTTCTAGAGTGCTACATGACCTTTGTGTGGTACATTTATTTTACTTTATTAACCATACACCTGTTGTTACTTCTCTATACAAACTCTCCTTCTGCATCTTTTCCATCAGTTTGCAACAATATCCTGTCCCTTATTTATCATTCTGTTAATCTTTTCTTGATCTTGTGTGGTCTTGTGAAGGTTGCCATGTTTTTTTCCTGATTGTCATTATGTTCTAATTTAGGGTTAATTTCCATGTATTATAAACACATGGGAATTTTCTGATTGGCAGCTAACATTTTTTTTATTTTTTATTAAAAACCCAGCACTGTAGTCTGTTGGTAATAAATGATAAAATACATTTTAAAATCTGTATAAATATGAAAAAATAGAACTGAATACTTTTGTAATAGTATTTTTTTATAAAATATTGCAGTCCAGTGCACTTGTTCCTATTATCTCTTGTCAGTGGTATGTATTTGTCCATTTCTTTTATGTAGATGATCTTTTTTGTATATCTTGCTGTCTATTCTGATTTCAGAAGTTCACTAGTCAAATTTATTTGTTCTTTGTATTTTTCTGTATTTATTCATTATGGTTGGTTATAACTAATTATTCCATGTCACATTTTCCAAAGTGTACCATTTTACTTTTTTCAAGATTTTTGTATTACTTTATATTCCTAAATTTTGTCATTAAAAACTTCTCTCAAATTTGCTGCACATGGCTCTGGTGAAATTCTGTTATGCCAGTGTACTCCATTTTATAAGAATTCTTGTATTATTAATGATGTTTGTTTTAAAGGCATCTCTCTCATTGAATCCAAAGCCCATGCATAAATCTCATACTTTCCAAAAGATAACATTTAATAAATATAATCTTGGATCGCTCTCATCTGCATAGTTTAATGCACGAGATGAATGGTTAAATGATACTTCGGAAATGTAAATGCAATCAAGGGTTGATTGGAAATTTGATTTATATGCACTGAGATTTTCAAGGTTTACATAGCACTAATAAAAAAAGTGTTTATAATACTATTGATCTTGTGTCAAAACCAAACATTTTTCAACAATGAGGCCTTTTCTTCATGAAATATCTTGAAAAAAACAAACTTATTAGTCTTATGTATAGGTAAATATTTTCATTGGCATTCTCACTTTGTTTAAAGTGAATGCTATTAACATTTATAAAATTCTTCAATTACTTTTACTATGCAAATACTTGCAATTACTCCTTGGCAATCAATCAAGAAATGGGAAAAACTCATCTGATATCCAATCTGCTTTTGAGGCAATTAAGCCTGTGTTCTTTTCTGGTGTTTCTATTTGGACATTGAATTTCCTATCCTTGTTGCTGTTTTCTTCCTTTTTTTTTTTTTTGCCTCTTTGTAAATATAGTGTATACAATTTTTTATTTTACCTTGGCATTTATTTTTACATGTGGTCATGAATGTGTGGTAGCAGGAGTGTGGTTGGGTAAATGAGCACTTGAGGGTGGTTGTGTTAGTGGATGTGTGTGTGTGAGAGAGTGGTTGAGTAAGTAAGACATGAGGCAAAAGACAGAGATATAGGTGAGAGTTTGAGTGCGGGTATTTGAGGGTATGCATACATATTTATCATTTCCCTTCATTTGAAAATATATTATTTGTCTCCACTTTTGTGTCTATGATCTTACACTCACTTCTCAAAACAAAGAGGTGGCAGATGAGAAGGCATTACCAATTTATTTAATGTTCATGATAATAACATACAAAAAAGAAAATAGAGGGAAAGGAAAGTATTTGTGTAAAAAGTGGGAAAAAACAGTCAGATATACAAAGAAAACTGATTTAGTGTTATAGCTCTGCATATACCCTTTTTTTAATACTGATTCGTACTCTATATAGGTAGACTGTAATTACAAAATATCTCAAAGCATCACTGTAGCTATAACTGAAAACCTGCTCTTATAAACTGATCAGCAGTATATACAGTAGTAGTGTCAATATTTTCCTTGTTTTACAAATTATCTTCATAATACAAAAGCACCTTTGTGTTTTATCAACATAAATATTAACTGAATAAATTTAATTGCTTCTAAACTCTCATAATCAATGTCTGGCTTTGCTATAAATCTAACATACAGAGATGCATTAGGGTCATGTAGGTAAATAATACAAACAATTTCTTGTAAAATTATTTTATGTAAAATTTGTCAATAATAAAAATGTTCACATCCTTCAAATTACATTCTAAAATACTGCCAAAACATCAGGGTCGGCCCGTAGCTTCAGAAGTGTGACCTTAAAAAACAAACAAAAAGGAAAAAAACACAAAAACTTACATATAATACAAACTTTACAATGATACAAAGAAGGTTCATACAAATATTCACCATTCTAAGGGATGAACTTAACCTGGACTTTACATCCATTAAACAAAATCACTTTCATCAAGTAAGCAGCTGCATTCATGAATATTGCATTGCAGTGGATGTAAGTGTGGTATGAGAGAGGGCTCAACAATTTGTACAATGCTGATGTCATAGTAGACATTTTGATCAACCAGTGCAGTGGGGCAGAAGAAGCACCTTCCATGACGCATTTTATGCTGGAAATGACCATGGCACAACCAGCCTATTGTATTTTCTGCTGTTCAACGTTTCATCAGCAGCATAATCCACAAGCAGAGTATCAAAGTCTGCCCCCACACACATGACGACAAGACTGATTGTCGGTTTAGGAAAACAACTTTACTTCAGTAAAACAAGGATAACGAAGTCTTTTAGCTGCACCGTCACACAGCACTGGTGGCTTTCTATTGGCTGTGCCTCTGAGCAGCAGCCACTCAAGGCTGCTTGAGGGAACACCAGAACCACCGGCAAGAGTCTAGTCAGTACATCAGGATGTGTGGCGAATGCACAGCTGGCTCAAACCGTTTGTTGTCAGGGCCACCACTCCTTGACACCTGAGCCACGCCACATCATCTGGGTTCCACCACAACACTGCACTGGCAATAAATCTTCAAGCAGTCAACAACCACTGAAGGATAGATAGGTGAACAGAGCAAGAATAACTTACACTACAAAGCACCCCGTTAACAGTATTGAAACTACAAACTTACAAGTTGCCCTGAAAAGTGAGAACTGAGTGGACTGTGCGGGGCAGGGGGGCGACCCCACCACTGGACGGGCACACGGGTGGGTGGGGGGGGCGACCCTCACACCCGCCACGGGTCACTGGTCAGGGGGGCGGGGGGGGGGCCGCAGGGGAGGGGGCACGCCACCACCACCACCACCACACTTGAGCAGGATCACCACCACCGCCACAACCACCACCACTGGCAGACCAGCAGGGGAGGAGGGAGGGGTTGACTTGCATAGTGGTGAGTGTGCTGGGCGGCAGCTGCTAGCACCAGGTCACCTGTGAGGTAGTTTTCCCCGCGCCTCACTTGGGGTTAAACGGGAAGCCCTGGCCAGGCATGGGCCCAGGGCCAGGAACGTTGGAACCTCCTGGTGGCCCTGTTACGACAGGCCCTCCTGGCCCACCAGGCCCACTCATGGGTCCAGGCATGTGCATGTTGGGACCCCCACGGGTGTTGGTGGCATACAGTTGCTGCTGGAAGCTGTGGAACTGGGCGGCATAGGTGGGGTCAGCAGTAGTGGGCCCCATAAATGGCGAGTTCTTGAAATTACCGGACTGACCCATTGACGGTGGGAGGGGCTGGGCAGCGTCTGGCGCACCACCCATTGGTCCCCCCATGTTCATGCCCACAGGTGACGTCTTGGGTCCATACATGGGTCCGGTTCCACTCATCATCTGGTTCGGCCCTCCAGGGTTGGGTCCCGGGCCGGTTGGCATTGGGCCGCCACTCATGCCCGGCCCCGGCCCTCCCATGGGATACATTTCACTGCCCATCCCCGTCATCATCCCCCCGGGGCTGGGCCCGCGCATCATCCCTGCCCCGCCGCGGGGGCCGCCCATCATCCCGCCACCGGGACCCATCGGCCCGCCACTCATCATATTCGGATTCATTCCCATTGGTCCGTTCGGCCCCATCATCGGGCCACTTGGTCCACCCATCGGTCCATTGGGGCCCATCATAGGCCCGCTGTGTCCACTCATCCCACCTGGCCCTCCCATGTGGCCACCCATTGGACCATTCGGCCCCATGCCCATGGGACCATTAGGGCCTCCCATGGGGCCTCCTGGTCCGGACATGGGGAAGGGTCCATTGGGGCCACTCATCGTGTTATTCATGTTCACCATTGGTCCATTAGGTCCTGACATCGTACACATAGGTCCACCTGGGCCTCCCATTGGTCCACCTGGCCCACCCATTGGTCCACCCGGGCCATTCATTGGTCCAGGCATATGTCCACTTATTGGCCCGCAAGGCCCACTCATAGCCATAGTCGACATTGGCACATTAGGCCCACACATAGAATTAGGAGTACTACTGTTAGGGAACATAGGAGAATTGGGCACTTTACTGTCCACATTAGGATTATTAAATTTCGGTATAAAGTCCAAGCTCACAGGTCCTCTGGGGCCATTACCAGTGTTCTGTGGTCTGGCAGGCAGGTACTGTATGGTATTAGGGGCACTGGGTTTTACCTGCACATTGGCACCAGAATATGGCCAGGTCCATGGTGGCAGTTCGGAGGGGGCCGCCACCATTTATTTTCGGTCCGCCATGCGAGGGGTTTTGGGCGCACTCATGATAGGGCATATTGCTTGGAGAACATCTTCCTCGAGGTCCACTACATATTACTGTTCATCTATGGGGGAAGTCATCGCGCCCGTGGCCTTGCATCATCCCGGGCTGCTTACAACGTAGAGGGCATGCATCATGTGCCTGGGGCTGTCCATCATGCCGCCAGGGCCTCCGGGCAACCAGGTCGCACCTCCCATTCCTGGCATCCCCGACCTCCGGGCATACCAGGACACCGCCAGGCATTCAGGTCCTGTCCAGGCATACCGGTGTTCCTCCAAGGCATGCCCAGTGTTCCTCCGGGCAATGCGGTTTCCTCTCGGCTTCACAGGTCCTTTCCGGGCATCTTCATAGGTCCTCGGGCATTCCAGGTCCTCTCAGGCATGCCAGGCACCTCCAGGCATGCCAGGACCTCCGGGCAATTCCAGGTCCTCGGGCATTCCTGGCTGCTGTAGACATTGCCCCGTCCCGCGAATGCTCCTGGGGCCACTGATCATCCATTTCGGAAAGAAGGAAACCACAACCACCTGGAGCACCTGGAGGACCTCCAGGTCCAGTTCCTGGACCTTACCCTCATTGTCTACTGTTCCTGTGATAGTTATCATCCGTGGGGGCGGAGGACGGAAGGCGAAAGATCCACCCGAGCTCAGGCTGCTGACTAAGGAGATCGGATGGACAGACTTGCAGATGGTTTGGCAGGGGTAGGAGGCATAGGTAGGCGTGGTGGTGCTGCAGCATTGGGTGGAGTAGATGGGCAAGATTGGGCTCAGACTAGTGCGAATGGACGGCCTCACATGATGTCATAATCCCATCTTCTTGTTCATATGCACTCCCATGCTTGTTCATCATACTGGTTGCTGCTTGTTCCCTCGCGCCTGTGCGGCGGCCCGTTCCTGGTCCTGGGAACCGTGCTCCTATGGTTTATGTCGTCCTGCGTTGGATCCAGGTCCTGCTACTGGGCCTGTCCAGCTCCTGCTGGTCCTGTGGGTCCTGTTGGCCCTGAAGAATTGTTGGGTCCTGTGGGCCCCGTAGGTCCTGTGGGTCCAGCTGGCCCACCCGACTGGAGAGGCGAGGCTCCTGGGAACCTGTTCACATTGTCTGGTCCGCTGGGAGTCGTGGGTCCACTGCACATGCTCGGAGTCTTGGGTGACCGGAACAGGGACATCTCGAGTCCATTGACGGCGTCTTGGCCCGCCCTGCTCGCATTCTGACCGCCACCGCCGCCTGGCCGCGCCGCTGCCTCTAACGCCGCCACCATTACTATTAGTTTTGTTATTGCTTTATTTTGTTATTGATTAATATGTTGTTGAGTTGTGGCGGTGGAGGTGGAGATATTCTTGGCTTTGGCTGGCTCTGCGGGAACGACGGGCCGGTATTGCTTTGTGGGTTTCTTGGCGTGTGTGAGTGGGAGTGTGGCGTGCACTTCTCTGGCATACCCGGGGATGCTTGGCCCGGTCTGGCGTGTTGGGCCCTGTGTAACGAGGCCCTGTTTCCGAGGTTGGCGTGAGGGGGGTTGCTGGGCCCCCGAGAGGCGTGGTTGGGCCTGACATTCGACTACCATCTGCTACAGTTGTATCCCCAAGTCTGCAATGAAACGGTTTAAATAAAAAATCAATAAGACGGTTCAATAGCTACAATACTCTTCTTGTGTAAAACGATATTATATTTAGTGACAATAAACGGATCCTGGACATTCAGCAGTGTTTCTGTTCCTATTATACTAAGGCAATCCTTAAAAAAAAAAAAAAAAAAAAAAAAAAAACGACAACGCAAAATACAAAAAACAAAACAATTCACACTACGAGACATGATGTCTGAATCACGTAGACTGGTGTTTGGCTGTTTCTGTATCGTGAGCTCCTGTCCCTCGAATGTACTGAGGTACTAACTGCAGAGAGCACGGCATGGTTGGGCTCCTTCCCTCCCTGCTGCTGCTGTTGCTGCTGCTGAGGGCCCCCTTGGTGTTTCTGCTGGGCAAAGTTCTGCAACTGTCTTCCAAATGGCATATCACCTGTAACGTTGTTATAAATTAGCATCAGTAAGTGCGAAGTCCGTACTGAACAAATTAATCATACAATAATAGCCTAAAGAAAATCAGAAGTCTATATTATCAATCTAATCTATGATTGTTATAAGCATATCTGTGATGCTAAGGAAGAGTTGTTTTTTCAAACCAGAAAATCTCTTACCTGATGATCCAATCTTGAGCAATAATATCTTAAAGGTTCACACTTTATGGGAATTCAGTATCTAAACATATACATAATTTTTCTTTATAAATATATATCCATACTTAGTACTAAGGTTTACACAGTAAGCCTTCGAAACGTACCTGACTGTGGTGTGTGTGGCTGCTGGTCCTTCTGTGGGAGAGACGGGCTGGTGATGGGCGGGCCGCTCACGGGCGTGGCGGGGTTGCTGGGGATGAGCGGCCGCGGAGAGTCCACGGGGCCAGCCATCCTCATTCCGGGCCCTCCGCCGGGGCCTCCTCCAGGCATGCGTGGCGATGTCATGGCGCACATGGACGGGGATCCAGGGGATGGCAGAGGGCCGTTACCCACAGGGCGCGGCCCATGGTACGGGGGAGGGGGGCCCTGCATGCGAGAGCCGGGACCCATGCCTCGCATGCCTCCCGGGCCCATGCCGCCCATGGATCCAGGCATCATTGGGCCGCCGCCCATGCCCATCGGCCCTCCTGGCCCCATCGGACCACCTGGCCCCATTGGCCCTCCTGGACCCATGGGGCCGCCAGGTCCCATGGGGCCACAAGGTCCCATGTGACCACCGGGACCCATAGGCCCTCCGGGGCCCATGGGGCCTCCTGGACCCATTGGTCCTCCTGGACACATAGGCCCACCAGGACCCATAGGGCCCCCTGGTCCCATGGGCCCTCCAGGTCCCATAGGTCCTCCTGGGCCCATGTGGCCCATCGGCCCCATTGGGCCCATGGAGTTATCGCCGCATCCAGGGCCGCCCTTCTTCCTCTTGCTCTCGAAGAATTCAGCTTGTAATCTCTGCCACTCGACCTGCGCTGCCATCGAGGACGCTGGGTTCGGGCCGGCCATCATCATTGACTGGGGTCCATTAGGACCTATTCTCATTCCAGGAACACCTGGACCCATAGGGCCACCCATAATGTTAGCTTGCGAGGTCATCATCATGTTATTACCCATGGGACCTTGGCCCATCATCACTCCACTTTGTGACACCATTGTATTGGGGCCCCCGGGACCCATCATCCCAGGTGACATGCCCATCCCAGGCCCCGAATTCATCCCAGGCCCCATTCCCGGGCCCGGGCCCATGCCTCCTTGTGGCCCCATTCCAGGGCCGGGGCCCATACTCGTATTGGGTATTCCCGGACTGGGTCCCATTCCTGGACTGGGCCCCATCCCGGGAGAAGGCCCCATGCTCGGACTGGGGCCCATTCCTGGGGACGGCCCCATGCAGGTGACCGGGGAGGGCCCCATGCAGGTGACGGGCGTGGTCTGCGTGCCCGGCTGGCCCGTCTGAGAGGTCTGCGACGTCGGTGCCTGCGTCTGCGAGCAGGGCATCATGCTGGTGCTGTTGGAGCCGGCGGAGCACGAGGGCTGCGGCCCCGAGTGGTTGCTGTCGCTCTGGCTGGGCGAGTGCAGCTCCGGCAACAAAAGCAATTGCATCTGACGTAATCTGGCCATCTGCTCCTCTCGGTGTTGGCGCTGCTCGGGTGTCAAGTGATCATCAGGTACCTTCACACCTGTTGACACATCTGCCAGGTTAATTGCATAACGTTACACTCGGTTTTATCGCAATCTCTTTCTGTTTGATCTAATCTATGAAGAAAAATAAAAGCTGGCAAAACTTTACGATAAAAAAGTACATTTTCATGCTTAAAACAACTAAGTACATAGGGGAAAAAACACTTGCCAGCTTGAAAAAAATATATATAAAAACAGAACGAAAAGAAAAATAACCGAAATATCAACCAAGGATTTTGCTAGAACTATAGGCTGTGTAAAGAAGGCAAGAATAGCTATCAAATACTTATCCTTTGTATCTGCCAAACCGTACATCAAGAAAAAAGAGAAAAAATGAATGCCGGCACATTTCACGTCCAAAACACTATGAACCCGACGGGATCTCACCTTGCACCCTCTGCCCGCCGGGGCCCATCATGTGGCTCATCATGTGGCCTCCGGGACCCGCCATGCCGGGCCCGGGACCGCCGGGACCCATCATGCCGCCTCTCGGCCCCATCATCCCTGGGGCTCCGCCGTTTGGTCCGGGCCCCATCATGTTGCCTGGGCCCATCATGCCGGGACTCGTCATTCCTCCCGCGTGGCCCATCATGCTGCCGTCGTTGCCCTGGGGGAAACAGACACAATGTTCATCAGCGCCTCACCAGGATTCGGAAATCGTACTCCGGTTTTCAGCCACACTCCAAGGGAGTTCGCGTACACTTTGGAAAGACCCGAATGAACTCACCTGCCCGCCCATCATGGGGCCCATCTCCCCCATGGGGCCATTGGGTCCCATGGGGCCATTGGGTCCCATGGGGCCATTGGGTCCCATGGGGCCGCCAGGACCCATTGGACCACCGGGACCCATGGGGCCATTCGGTGCCATGGGCCCTTTGCCATGTCCTCCTTTGTTTCCTTTCATTGCCAAGGTATTGAACCAATGGGCGGGATTCTGGCGCACGAACTGTGTCGTCTTCAGCGGGTGCTTCTGCAGGGGGTAAGAAGGAGATTTGCATCGGTTAGCTACCATTCTCAAATGCGCCGAGACCTATCCCTTTTCCAAACCTCTCATGACCTCCCCCTCAGCATTCTCTTCCCTGAAAAAGACTCGCGCCTCGACGCCGCCTTACCTCCAGCAGTTTCTTGGTGCCGGGCTGCGCGCAGTGGAAGGCGATGATGGTGTTGAAGGAGCCCTGCATGACGGCCTCCGCAGCCTTGTTCGCCAAGTGCGTCGTGAAGACGAAGATCTGACTCTGCTGCTGCATGTACTGGGCATCGCTAGTGGCCACCCCAGCGCCTGCCCCGCCCTTCACGCCCACGTTGCCCATGCCGGGCCCGTAGGCGCTCCCATCCCCTCCATCTGAGGGCACAAGAAGCCAGTTAGCATCGACTGAAACTTTGAAGAGATTAGTAAATCAAACTCGGAAACCTTACTCTTATTCAACCTAGGATGATAACATTTCTGAACCAGTGAATTTCGAAGTGAAATCTATGGCCATTTCTATCGTTAATTTGAACTTCAAACAGACAGTATAGATTCATGACAAATACATAAACAGTATCCAATTCTTAAAAGAAAGGAACAGGCCATATCATGCACAGAAGGAGAAAAAAAGCTTAGAGAGGGAACTTTTTCAGATAATGCGTAGAAATAAAAATAAACAGAGCCTCAATCAAGGATCACCAAGAAAACTCCCTTATGAAAGCCCTTCCCTTGACTAGACAAAAAAGATGGCCCTTGAACTCAGGACTTGAAACTCTAAACTGAATTAAGAGCAGATCTCATCTTACGAGATATATCCATCCATCTATCTCATTCGTTACGTTAGCGTTTGCAAAAAAATGAAAAGATGTTGCTTCTATCTTTTTCCTCAAAAAATGGAAATCGCATCATTCGGTTCACACAACGCCCCAGCGCCTAAAGAGCCTGGCAGTTTCTCAACCCCTTCCTCTCGTCCCTCTCGTCCCTCTCGTCCCTCTGCCCTCAAACACCTACCAACACCAATAAGTATATCAATAAACAAACAATTACAATAAATCACCCATAGACACCCCCCAAAAGTATTTCACAATCCACACACAACACACCAAGCGGGCCGCGGGGCGTCCTACCTGAGGGGTGCAGCTGGTGCATCGAAGACCCATCGAGGGCGGCCACTCCGGAGCAGACCCCAGCCACTTTATTCCCGTCACCGTCACCAATAACGTTACAACCTGCCGACACCACCGCCCAAGCTCACCAACCCGAACTGATTTTGTTTTTTGTTTTGTTTTGTTTTGTTTTGTTTGTCTTTGTTTTAGGTCCCTGTCCACTTTTCGAACTCCCACACCCCGCCCTCCGCCCTCCCTCGAACCCTCTCACCTACTCTTTCTTTGATTATGAACTAGATCTCTTTTTATATTTTCTTGTATATTTGTCTCAAAAGTGTTATGAAACTACATTGAAATACAAAATTAGAAAAATGATAAAGAGAACTGAAAAAGACATTCATGTACTCTTACTATACACCTATAGTCATAACTTTTGTGAATGAACTGTACTTATTGATTATTTTTTCAAAACCCTATATACTGTACTTATATATACTTTGAAATAAACTGATAAGCTCAAATCC